AACGTCGCGTTAAATTCAAAATTAAGTGTCTTTAACTGTTTGTGTTTTCTGGTCTCCGAAACGCTGAGACCAGACGATAAAAAAAAGTTGCCCGAACGATGACTATGCGTCGAAAACTATTTTATTCTTGATCTTATCTTTCTTTAAAATTCGCGTACGAAATCTTGTAAAGCAGTGAGGTGTCGATGCGTTACGAACGCCGCTATATTACCTTCGATGGAGACGTCGAGTTGGGGGACAACGCGCTAATTGGTTTTCCTGCGAAAAGTCAAAATTCCAATCGGCGTGTCCCCCTAAAGATCGGTCCCACCCTCTCTAGCGCCCTTAGCGCGTCTTCGTCTAGAGAGGGTGGGCGATATCGGTGCGTACACGAGAACCTCGAAAGTCCGGCTATGCCGGGGTTTGACCCTTAAAACCTGGGGTACCGTTACGAATTACCAAATTTTAATTTACCCTTCGGAAAAGCCAGTTTATGACATGAGCGAAGCTATTGAGGACGAAAACGAAACTTAAAATCGGACTCTATTGTACAAAAAGGTAAACGGTTATTGCCAGAAAATGCTAAAATGCCTAAACTCAAAAATAGCCTTTCGTCGAAGAACTGTCATAAGGTCCCTTTTGAAATTCTCGCACATCTGTTCCGTCGAACGGTCGGAACAAATCTTCTGGTACGTATTTTGAATAAAATGAAAATATTTGAAAACCAGAAATCATTTTTCCTTTAAACGCAAATTTATTTATAGATCTTTGAATAAAAATCTCGAATGAAACCAAATTATCCGAAAATAACAAATAATTTTCGATTTAAAGATAATTGAAATAAGCTTTTATTTTAAATAAAATTTGATTTTTAATATTTTTAGATAACTAATTGAATTTTTAATTTTTTTTATTTCGAATAAAAATGTATTGAAATGAATAGTATTTTTTATTCTTGAATGTCTTCGTTTTAGTTGAAATTTGTGACAGAAGATTATTTGAAATAATACTCAACTCTACTCTAGAACATGGATCTATATTTCCAAAACAAGGGCAAGTCACTTGGCTGACATTTTGCATCACCTAGTCGCTTATTATCTTGTTATTTCACTCGAGAAATGTCGTTCGTAAATGCGTTAAGTGATACCACGTTGCGATCAAGCGAAAAATATATGAAAATGTCATATCTTCTCTTTAGCTCTTCAAACAACCTTTATTCTGAGTTGTGACACTCTTGATCTGAAATTTTAATTAAATACTTTAATTGAAAAATGGAAGTATCTGTTTTTGTTCATTTGAAAACTTTCTTAAAATATGATTAGTCAATATTTTGTTCATATTAATTAACAAAAGTGATATACAATATTAGTTATAAAGATATAATTATATAAAAGGTTGTATTTCAAAATGCTTTATTTAATAACTATTTGAAAATATCTTTTCCACTCTAAGATTTTTAGATTATTTTAGAAGATTGCCATTAAAATTTACATTAAACAAACTTTTCTCGGAATTGTGTATTTCCTTTGACATGAATCGATGTATTTTGTTATTTCTTACAAAAAAGTATTAAAATACTGAGGCCAAAAATTGATTGGTTCAAAAGATATTTTAAGGAGAGATGACTAGACTCTTCTGGTCTTTCCCTAGGGTATCTTTTTAATTATTCAATCTTCAACCTAAGTATCATAGTAATTTTTGCAAAAAATAACAATATGCAGCGGTTGACGTCAAGGAAACGATAACTATAAAAAAATTGTTTCAAATTGAAAGAGTCTAAACCTCCCTATAAAATATCTTTTGAACTAATCAAGTACCTTAATGCTTTTATATAGAGAATAACAAGATATCTTGTTTTACAATTGAACAGATATGTAATTCCACTCAAAAACATAGTGATCTTGAAATGTTTGAAGTGTCTTCACTTTCGGGATCGAAATATACAGTGGGTGATCAAATTATTATGAACAGATGGAAAACATACATGTTTTATGTTTCCGATGCTATTATGTATTCCATAAAAGTGAAATATACTCTTTTCAGCAAAAACCGTAACAACCTCCCTAACTAATAAAAAAATTCCAAGTTTTACCGTGGCCTGGAAACTCACCTGATATGAACCCAATAGAAAATCTATGAGAATTATTAAAGCATCGCATTGCATCAGAGACAATAACTAACAAGCAACAACTGATTGACAAAATTATATTCGTATGGCATCACCATCCAGAAACGCTATAAAATTGCCGAAAAAATATGGAAAGCATGCTGAGACATATTTAGGCAATTATAGATACCAAGGGCGGCATGACCGAATATTAACATTATGTGAGTTTTAAATTATAAAAGTTGTAAAATATAGCAATATCATAATAATAAAAATATAACAGTAAGTTTTGCAATAAAAAGGAATACCATTTTAAGTGTATTTTCAATTTCATTCCCGATCAAACTTCAAATAAGTGGTAATTTCGAACTGTTCATAATAATATGATCACCCACTGTACATTACGTGTTGCTCCATTTGACACCATTTAATTTTTCTTAACCCTGGAACAGCGGATCAGAAAAAGTCACAATTTTAATGCAAACGTGTTTTTCACACTGTTTTCATTTTATAAATTTTACACTATTACTTTACAAATTATTGCTCCAACTTTATCTCAATATCCTTGCACATATTTTGTAAGTTTGCGTTACGTTTGACTCAGCCTCGGCTGTTCAGGGATTAATGACTTGTTTTTTATCCTAACATTAATTTTGAAGATATAACTTCATATACAAAAAAGAAAACAGATCCTTTATTGATTACTCTAAAGTAATGTGATATTTGTTCATTGTTTATATTGTATAGGATCTTTAGTTTAAAAAATAAGGTGTAATGTTGTTTGCTAATTTATCCAACTTCAATTTCAACTGAAGAATAGCAGCCATTTTATTCTAAATCGATTTGTTCCAGCAAGTCGTTGTTCCTCGTTATGGAAGTAAATTATTGGTGCGCAACTCCAAATAGTAATTCTTCTTGAAATTAAATTAGAAAACGCATTCCTTTCGAAATGCCGATTGAATTAAAGTGTTTCCTTTTGCTTTCAGAACAACAGTCTTACTATTAACTACGTTTTGTTCGGAGAACAATGGGGTTTATTTTAAAAATTCATAATATTTAACTAACTCGAAACCATTATTAAGACCGTCAAAAAAATGTGTCAAAGAAACCAATTCAATTTAATTTAACTAATTGTGAATGCAATTCCGAGGCACTTTCTAAACTATCCTTTTTAACTATTTGTCAGTACTCTGTTTGTTTGACCATTTTTTAATTTCTTAACTTCTTATTTCAATATTTTTTACTATACGTTTATCTACTTTATTAAATACTAGCAGGATAGGATTCAGATATCTGGGACCCGGTATCAGACCTCCGAAAGTCATCTTGGTCGACAAACTTATTGTTAATTCAAAAATTGAAATGTATTCTAAATAAAATTGAAATAACATTTAATCATTCAAAAAAGGAGCAACAGTACACAAAAATTTTATTCAATATTAATATAAATGAAGGGCTTAAAATTTGGCCCCTTGAAGAGGAGGGCCCGGGATTAAACATACGTAAACTGAAATTCTTGAGTATAGGTAATTCTATTAGATATAAGAAAGAATTAAAAATCTTAACAATCAGTTTTTTGTACAATGTATGGTCGTCAAAATGTTCAACTTAAACTACAAAACAGAGTACTGTCTTTATACGAATCTACATAAAATTAATTTTGTGTAATTAGAGAAGTATAACGCAGTCCCTGATGTATCTTTCGTTTCATTCATTAAAGCTTGAAGTTAGTTATTTTGAACTTTTTAGAGGAGAAGCAAAAAATTAATTACAAGCATTGGATGTGTTACATTAAATAAACGGAGTTTTTCACTGAGCTTCAGCTATTGTTCGTAAACTCTAACGTACTGACGATGAAAAATCAGCCGCTATATCTGGTGTATCAAATTATTTTAGAGATCAAGATATTTAAAATTTTGTTAAGTAAAAGTTATTTTGCAATACCGTGCCACAAAATTAATCCACAAATATTCTAAAATTGATATTTCAATGTAATTTTTTTTTTTACCTTTGAACAGCGGAATCTGGATCAACCGAGACCCAAACTTACAAAACATGTACAAAAATATTAACCGAAATTTAAATGTATAATTTTTACACGAAAGAGTTTTATATATTGAAGAAATAATGTTTAAAGAAATAATGTAAGGTTTAGAAAATGTAAATAATATGAAATAACAAATTAAATTAAAAATAGGGCAACTCCATGGTCTAAAAAATATTTTTGTATGTATTTTAAATGAAAAAAGTAGGAAACGTAATTGAAAAGAAATAGTATATATAATATTGTATTTTGCAATAAAATGTTAAGTGTAATAACAAGTTTTTTAAAATAGATATAAGCTATTGGGCTTTTTGTGAAGATCAAAATACACTAATGCAATATAATGTACTGGTAATTGAAAAAATTTCTCATATTAATTAATATATACAAATAAATCAAGACCGAATTAAGACTTCTGAGGCCCAGGCTCATCAAACCTTCAAGGACCCCCTTGGTTAATAAACTTGGTTCAAAAACTGGAATTTACTTTATATAAAATAGAAAAACACCCAAACAATGGAGTGTTTTTCCTTTGGCAAAATGTTGTTTGAAGTTTCGTTTTTGAATTATTAACGAAAAACACTGACCAATCTGAGCGCGTATAGCGCGCGGGCTCAGGGACGGCAATGTCGGCTACGAAAACCAGGCCTGACGTAGGTTGTGAACGAACGGCTCAGCACCCCGTTGGCATAGCACAATAGAAAAATTGAACTGTTTGAACATTATTAGTCGTTGTTTAAAATGAATACGAAACCTAATCTCTTGTCGCCTGTCATAGTGTAAAAAAGGAAATTCTAAGCATTCTAAACAACAAATAAAAATGATTGAAATGGAATAATTAATAAACGTTTGAATTGGAGGCTACGTTAATGATGAAAAATTTGAAAACAATTTAAATGAAACTTACCCATTCGTTTCTAAATTAACCTGCTACGCTGAAAGCAAATAATTGCCTCTGGGTCACTGTGTCAGTCGCCACCACTTGACGAGGAAACACGTTCGGTAGAACAGCTGATTTCATGGTAGGGCCAGTGAATTCGCCTCATTTATTGCATTTAGATATGAGTAATAGGCAACCCCTTTCGGGGCCTGACTATTTCACTTAAACGACGACACAAAATCACTATCACTTTTCACACACTTCAACCTTATTACTTGAATAATAATGAACAAGTAAACAATTGTTTACTCTACGTTTGATAAATAAGTGGCCCCGAAAGGGGCCGATTGTTTTAGTGGAGGAACCAATGTAGAACCAGTAAACTGATGTTTACTCTACGTTTAATAAATTGGTGGCCCCGAAAGGAGCCGATTGTTTTAGTGGATGAACCAATGTAGAACCAGGAAACTAATGTTTATTCTGTTTTATAAGAGTTCAATGAACCCCCCTTGATTCCTGAAGCAAGTTGCAGCACGGCTTGCCACGTTGCGCTGCACCTTCCGCAATGTTTCAACGCTTATCGTCTTGACGACAGCATGAATCCGTGCAACCGCCTCTTCCCGCGATTTAATATGTTGCCGGTATACCTCGTTCTGAAATAATTATTAAATAAAAATAATTATCATTAAAAATACAAAAACATAATTAAATGTATAAATAACTGTAAACATACCCTCAGATGACCCCATAAATAAAAATCCACCGGATTCATATCCGGTGATTGTGGGGGCCACGCAACAGGCCCACCGCGGCCAATCCACCTGTCTTGAAAGGTTTCATTTAAATGAGCCCGAACATTTGCGGCGTAATGGGCGGGAGCCTCGTCATGCTGATAATACATGTTCTTCCGAATTTCCAATGGAATTACTTCCAAGAGATTCGGAAGAACATGTTGCAAAAATTGGTTGTATGCTGGGCCGTCCAATTTATCGGGCAGAATGTACGGCCCAACAACAAAGTCGCCGCAAATTCCGGCCCATACATTTACAGACCAGCGGTGTTGCGCTGCTCGTGGTAGAATCATGTGCAGATCCTCGTCGCTCCACACGTGTGCAGTGTGGGTAGTGAAGCACCCCTCATGTGTAAAGAGGGCTTCATCCGTCCACAAAACATACGTGCAGAACGACGGATTATGTTCGATTTTCCCCAACAACCACCGAGAATACCTCATCCGCCGGATGAAATCTTGAGGGCGCAGATTCCGCACCGGCACATATTTGTACACGTTTGAGGGGCTAACACTAAAATGGAACAGAAATTATGTATATTAAAACAAGAATTATATTTTCATATTCAAATTATTCTAATTACTTAAAATTATGGGTGTATACTTCCGAAAGCGACAACGCTCCGATTTTTCTGAAATTTTTGCCAAAGCTTATCCTTGATTACAGAAAAAAGTCCCTAAAAAGATTTTTGACGACAAAACCTCGTTTGCCCCCCAGCCCTCTTCAAAGTTTTGACAGTTCTTACTAAATATCTCCGAAAATATTGATTTTAGAGAAAAAAGTTTCAAACAAAAAATGAAGCTCATAAAAAGCTATACAAAAAAAGTTATACACATTTTTTACGTAAACCTATTATTTTGACTGTTATGTAAACAGATAGTAATTTTTACACTACCGTTGATATCATTCCCTACCTTACCGACACAGCGCAGTATAATTGTACATATACACTGAGTTCCATCGAAGTTGTTGCAGTGAAGTTGGCGCACTAACACATTCACGCCGCGTCGGTGAGCCGATGGGCGAGGTGCCGACGACGCGGTGTGAATGTGTAGCCAACTTCACTGTGACAACTTCGATGGGACTCAGTGTACATCTGAGGAAAAAATACTATTATTGCTCATAACAGCTAAAACGTAAAAAATGTGTATAACTTTTTTTGTATAGCTTTTTATGAGTTTCATTTTTTGTTTGAAACTTTTTTCTCAAAAATCAATATTTTCGGAGATATTTAGTAAGAACTGTCAAAACTTTGAAGAGGGCTGGGGGGCAAACGAGGCTTTGTCGCCAAAAATCCTTTTAGGGACTTTCTTCTCTAATCAAGGATAAGCTTTGGCAAAAATTTCAGAAAAATCGGAGAGTTGTCGCTTTCGGAACTTTATCCAAAATTATTACTTACTTGGAGCGTCGGCTGATCTCGCGTGTGCTGGTGGTGTTGTCTTGCTCAAATTCAGCAAGAACCAGTTCTTCCTGTGATGCTGAAGAACGGGTGGAGCGGCCGGTATCTATTCTGTCTGGCATCAGCGAGCCGGTGGCATAGACTCGTGTAGCCAGCCTCTGGAAACACGGAGCAATTGGTGCATTTGCGGTGACACCGTAGGTTTCGCGGTATCGCTCGGCAGCGAGTTCCGCGTTACCGTTGCACTGCGCGTAAATGAATAACATGTTATAGTATTCCGACACTGAACGCAGCATGGTGTTTTCAGTTTGCTCTTGAGTTGTCTCTCTATGCTTGCTAGTTTGTTTCTGTCTTCTTTTCGAACTTGTCGATGCTTTTAAATTGCTCTGTTCCTCCCTTCCATTAGGGCCTTAGCTCGCTACCTTTGGGAGGGGGAACGGAAGTTCTGCATTTTTGGGGGTAGACGGCAACTTGGCAACTTGGCAACAATGCCATGTGGTGACTCGTTGCTGCTGAAACCGTTAGGTTTCGAGACCGAGTCACCTTTCTGGTACAGCCAGGTATATGACAGGGTCGAGCTATGGATTATTGCACCCTGTCATAAACCTCGCTTGGCTGAAACTCTAACAACGTCTTTTATAGGGAATTTATGACAGTTCCGCATTGAGAATGATATTTTTAACATTTACCTTTTTCGAACAATGCCCACTCTACCCAGTCGAGAACAAGGACAGCGAGCACGCTACTTTCCGTAAAACGGCAATCAGCCTGTATAAATGTTAGAATTAACCGGACATGTAAAGGAAAATAACAGCTTTTAGCCACGTTTGATGACTACTATGTGTCATAACAATATGTTGACGGACCGAACGATGTTCGTCAACTGCGTCTCGAATGCTTGTTGACGCTTGTTTCGCCAAACTAATTTTGAAACAATAGTTCTTAAGAAATTCCGATAATCACGAATAAAACGATAGATCGATTGATATATAGACTTGGAAAAATCTGTCGAAGTGAAGTGTTCCGCGTTCGAACGTCGCTGTTTTAACCTCTCGATTTTTCTCGGTAAGCGGGGAGACTACGCTGATTGACTTTTTTCGAAAAAGTCAACTTTCCAATCAGCGCATCCCTCAAGCACCGAGTCCGCCCTTCCTTGCGCCCTTAGCGCGATTTCGTCCAGGAGAGGGTGGAGTGGTACCTGAGGTACCGGAGGACCTCGAAAGTTCGACAATGCCGGGGTTTTTTCATCCAGGTAGGCCTTCGAAGGCCCCGTACCGTTAGATGACGTTGTCAAATTACCCTTCGGAAAGACTCAATTTATGACATGTTTTAGCCATTGAGACCGAAACGAAAAAATAAAACTCTAACTCCATTGTTGCAAAAACGGAAATTACTATTGCCGGCAATATTACAAGGTTACTCAAAAATAGCTGTACCGTCGCGAAACCGTCATAAATTAACTTTCGAAATCCTCGTACCGCATGTTCCTCGGAACGGAACAAATATGATGATTATTCGTAAGGATGTTTCTACTAGATTTTCTGTTTCAAACTCTGCTGTTTAACGGAATTCGCGGGAAAACACTGTCTACCGGCGTGGCCAACACCCGTGCCCATTGACCGCCAGGAAAAATCCAGGCTTGTGCGAATGGTCACCATATGTCTGAACTGACCCTAACCGGGCTCGCACAAGCCTCTACAACAAAAAAAATACGAAACCTCCGCAAGGGCATGGCAGCGACGAACTAACAATAGAATAGATAGAATAGAATAGAACTAACAATAAGCAGCCGTTTCTTAACTGTTTACGCGAGCGTTTTGCTGCTAGTGGACACTATTTTCAGTATCGATTCAATTAAGGTAAATGATATTTTTTTAATGTTACTTTGGTTTAGATGAAGAAGAAATACTTTTTATGATGCTTGTCGAATTCGTCTGAATATCTCCTAATAGGTCGGTGTACAAAAATAGGTTTAGATATAAAAAAATCAAATTTGGTGACCTTGATGGTGAGAAAAGGTGACCTTGATAACTCTGGGGAAAAAAGGATTGACAAAAAATTTGATGCAATCATCTTAACAGCAAAATAATCTATATAAACTGATCATGCATCGCGGTCCACCCTGTATAAATGTTAGAATTAACCGGACATGTAAAGGAAAATAACAGCTTTTAGCCACGTTTGATGACTACTATGTGTCATAACAATATGATGATTATTCGTAAGGATGTTTCTACTAGATTTTCTATTTCAAACTCTGCTGTTTAATATACAACAACTTAAACAAGTTAAAATAATGTAACTGATAATTGGTGTAACCTTAACCTTCCTTTGGAATGGTCCCTTAGCATTTTGAAAATATGAAATTTTAGAAATTTGAAACTTTTTAAATTTAGAATGTTGGAATTCTGAAATTTTGTAATTTTAGTAATTTGCAATTGTAAAATTCTGGAATTCTCATATTCTGAAATTTTAGAATTTTGTAATTTTGAAGATTTGTAATTTTGTAATTATGTAAGTTTGTGACTTGTAAATGTGGAAAATTTGAAATTTTTAATTTTGGAATTCCGAAGTTTTAAAATTCTGGAGCTTTGACATCTTAAAATTTTAGAATGAAGGTCCAGATTTCTAGGGCGGTCAAGCCCACCCTTTCCCTATCTAGTTACGCCAGTGTAACTAATTAACACTGAACTGTACTTAAATTTAGGAATTTTTTAGACCAGAATTTTTTTTTATTTTTCTTTTATTTAAAGTCCCCTCAACCACTCATATGGGTTATTAGCGACTCGTACGAAAGATTTACAGTTTTCTATATAATTTTGTTCTTCTTAGGAACTGTAACAGGTTTTGGGTCGATTCTTTGCCCTTCAGGTTGTCCTTCAGAGTTGGTCTTATGTTATGTTGTCGGTTGGAGGTATATTTTTTACAGTGGGCGATGACGTGTTCCACTGACTGATGGTCTTTGCACAGTTTACACGTTGGTGGATCTTCTTTGTTGAGGAGGTACTGGTGAGTAAGTTTTGTATGGCCTATTATGATCCGTGAAATTGCAACTTGATCCTGTCTTGGTAAAGACCAGGTAATGGATTTTTTAAAATAGTCGGTTTAAATTGCAGTTAACCGTGGTTTGGTTGAGAGATTCCATTTGTTATTCCAACTATTCCAATTCTTCCATTTATTCCAATATTCCATCTTTTATTTTTTCCTTTAGATTGGAGAGTATGGTTTTTGGGGGTAGGCTGCTGTCGTAGTGGTTACGTGTTGTTGAATTGGCAGCTTTGTATGCATTTTCATTTCCTACAATACCGACGTGGGAGGGGGCTCAGACTATTGTTATCGAATTATTCCTTTGAATTGATTTGGCACAAGCTTTTTGACAATCTTGGATGATGGAGTCGTTTGTCCACTGCTCCAGAATTATTATACAAAGTGCTTTCGAAACTTTTCATAATTATCATTTAATCACATGGACGTTTTTGTTTCGTATGAGTATTTATTTAATATATAGGCTATAATTAATTAAAAAATTAAAAGATTAAAAAAGACAGGAAACTCTGTATCTCGTTAATCGTAAGATCATACTAATAATTTGAAATAACAAATTAAAACATTCGATTATATCATACAATCGTATGTTATAGTAGGCATTATTATTTCTTCTATAACGGTCAACGCGCTAAATTCTTATTTTCAATAAATTTTGATGTTCAGTTGTATCACACGTGCTACTCATAATAAATGATTGTATCTCGAAAAAGAGATAAGGATTCTGGAACACGCAAACCATCATTTCATCTTCACTCAACTAACGTCATTTTCTGTAGAAATAGGTAGACGATCATTTTTCATATTCTTTTGTTCATTTCTGTTTCTTATCAATTTATTATCTGTCTTTATTTTTATTTCTGTGAATACAGAAAAAAAAGAAAACCTCAATCTCTTTTCGTTAAATCAAAATGAGAACAACTTTTATTTAATATCAAATTTTCAATAATTTGTTAACAAATTATTTTAAGTAACATATAATTTGATATACATTTTTTGAAAATTACAAATGTCAGGATTATTCTAACCATCCTTATCAACTAGACCAAATTTTGATGATTTATAAATAATTGATCTTAGAATATATTTGATGGTACTTAAATATTAATTTCAAGTTAAAAGGAATTTCAATAACTAATGATTAATTCAAGTTACGATTCAAACTAATTTAATTATTAATCCAATTGACAATTTCATACTTCAATTTTTAATTGCGGTTATATGGCGGTTAAATAAAAAATTAATTGGGTAAGCGTATAACTGCGACATTACCGGGTTCGGGAACATTCCCGAAGTTCCCTTGCCTCCCCGCCATTAACAAGGGAACATCGGGGACTGATACACTCCGATTTTGATGAAACTTTGCATAAATATTTATCAGACCTGTTTATGAAGATAACTGTATTTCGTTGGTGCCCGTTTTTCACTTTGAGGGAGATATCAACCCTTTTATCCGAACCGCCCTTTCTATATACAATATACGTGCTTATAAATTGTAAATAACAAAAGATATCAAAAAGTAGTTGGAATAAAAGTTGTACTTCTTCCTCTACTGCTTCAACGTCAGTATCCGCAGCATCAAATGGTGGACCTACAATTTCTGCTTCTACTGGTCTTTCCTCTTCAGCAAAAAACGATTGATCTTCAATGCTTCTTGTTATGATACCTTGTAGTACTTCGTATAATGCAACTTCTTTGTAATTGACTGGAGTCAGTGCAAACTGCATAAAATAAGATGTAGTCAATAGCAAATTAATTACATTTGCAGGATTAGTAAAAACCATTTTGCCACAGAGCACGAGTAAACAAATATACACTATAATACATCGTTGAATTCATAATAAATAGGCGCTTTTATTGATTGGAAAGAAAGTAAAGTTTTTTAAAAAGGAGGGGAGGGGAATTCAATTTTGCAAAAAGGATGATTTAAAAAAGAACACTTACATGCAGCTTTATAGACCTCAAGAAACGGTACAACTTTTATTTCAACTGTTTTTTGATATCTTTTGTTATTTACGATTTATAAGCACGTATATAGAAAGGGCGGTTCCCCCTTTCACCGACGAATTACAGCTATCTTGATAAACAGGTCTAATAAATATTAATGCAAAGTTTCATCAAAATCGGAGTGTATCAGTTCCCGATGTTCCCTTTGTGGCAGATTCAGAGAGATTCCGCGACAACGACATATTGTAACGGCAGGATCCGGTTTCGCGATCCGCGATACATGATTTACGGTGTTCGATACATAATTAAACTTTTGCATTCTGACAAAGAAGAGACGA